TTATTGCTTTAAATAATTGTGTTAAGTGTTGTCCTCCAAAAGGTGATGTTTCTTTATTTACTTTCTGTAGCTGGTAATAGGAACAGAGTGAGAGGTCTTCTCTTCCTCTGAGCTTCTCTGAGCACTGAACACTCCTCCTGTCTTTAACCCTTTGTGAGTCACTGTCCGACAAACTTCACACTGAAACTGCTTCATCGACACATTCCTCTCAGGTCATGTTCGCTTTCTCTTTGACAACAGCTGAGGATACTAAGAGGCAACTACTTTGCTTTGCTTGCTCAAGGTTCAAGGTCCAAAGTTCAAGGTTCTTTATTTGTCAAACGAAGATAGCTACAGTTTAGTTATGTCGATGAAAATGTTGTGTCACACGCTTCTCCAACAGTGAAACACAGATAAACAGAAAAATATAGATAAATAATTTTTAATTAGCTGCCAGACGAATATTGTGAATGTTTTTCAACAGTTTCATCACAACTTTAAATGAATAAAGAGTGGGCTTATTGCTGTTTAACAAATGTGTTCAATTTGTATTCATCTATTTTGAAGGAAGAACATTTATTTTGAGGTCTAAGTATTTCCCCTCACTTCCACTCAGTCTGCTACATATAGGAATTTAAAGGAACCAGTATAAAGTGTATAGCACATTTGTTACAGCAAATCCAAAGATAGCCTAATATAATTTAAGAAGTATGCACACAAATATTAAAAGATACAACTAGAAAGTATTTAAACAACATTTACAAAATACACATAGTACCAGTAACAGTTTAGCGATAGCAGCCAGGTGGAAGTATTAAAGGTGGAAGTATATATTCCACAGCTATTTACGGTAAATATATTTAGCACATTGTCTTTGTTGTTATATGTGTGTGTGGGGGCCGTGTTTGACTTTATATCGAAGGTGGGACCAAGTTATTGTTTCACAAGTATCAAGACTTTGCACTCAAGTCAACGGTCCTAAACTTTTATTATTGAGTCATAAGAAGTTAAAAAGTACTCTTCACTCATTTCTAGCTTCACATTTGTCACAAACTGTGTAGCATCGCATCGTGTTCCAAGCAAACACAATGGTCTCTGGTTTGACCTTCTCCAGCTGTGATCAGTAACGTAAGGCTAGTTGTTGTCGTTTTCTTATGCATCTTAAATCTCTTTGATTGATTTGTGCCTCACTTTGGAAATAACATACTTTTTGAATTGTTGGGCTTCGTGCCAAAAGGTTTCAAAGTGAAGTCATTGGTGTGAAAGTCGTAACGCAAGTCCTTTTGATTTTGTGGAGTCTAAAGTCATCATTTGTGGCTAACATGGGATCAAAGAATCTTGTTTCTTAATCTCTTTTTTGCAAAGCCATTTTCCTGAATAAGCTATTTACGCTCTAGGAGGAGCCCTTGCTGCTTTAAACTTCCTCCATTTAATAATTATGGAGGCCACTGTGCTCTTGTAAACTGTCAAAGCAGTACAAATATATTTTGTAACCTTATCTGTCGCTCAATTACATGTTTTCTTTACCTTATGGCTCAGTCTCGCTCTGAGTGGTGAGCTTTTATAAAGACAGCAGGTGTGTGTGTGTGTGTGTGTGTGTGTGTGTGTGTGTGTGTGTGTGTGTGTGTGTGTGTGTGTGTGTGTGTGTGTGTGTGTGTGTGTGTGTGTTGTAACTTCAGAATGAATGGAGATCAGAATACTTAATCTTCCCGGGGGGAAATTGGGTGTGGTGACGGTTGCTTCATTTTAAAATGAAATAAATAATAGACAAATAAAAGAAATAGAACAAAAAAAATAAGAAGTAAGTGTAAGAATGACCGAAAGTAAAAATAAAATATGGTATTTTTACAAACATAGGAAATTCAAACGATGTGATTTTGTAAGTACACAATGATCAAATATATAACTTGACATTTTAGCTGCGGGAAAGTTACATATGACACCTTTAACACATGCTGTTCCTTTTTAAACTCCATTTAAGATTTTATAAAGCATTCCACTTGAAACAGTGACTGAGAGGAAGGCGTACATGAAGCTGTGATGCCGTATCTCCTTTGAAAGTCTATTTGTTTCGGTGTTTGAAAACAATTCAATATCTTAGAGTATAGCTTTAGGTTACATTAGTCTCAACCTTAAAAATCACACTTATCTAAAAGTCCCTCGTACTGTAACCTCTTTATAGGAAGATCACCGGCCCTGGGAAGTAACTCCGTCTTGATTGAATTAATCGAACACAGCCGGAAGCTTTAAATCGAGTTACTTTGCATCCTGCACAAAAAGATGCTCTGTTGTGCTGGAAGATTTCAATTTCAACTCTTGAACAAAAACACATCTGTATCAGCGTGAGTCTGACTCATCGGTGCTCAGCAGATGTTAGTCTGTGGCTTTGCTAAAACAGACATGTTGGACTCTTTGTGTTTCAACATCATTACTTCCTGTTAGGAGCGGGCAGCGAGCAGCCAGCCATGTTTCGTGACAAAAGTTCCCGCTCACACTCTTATAGTTTAACCACAGCAAATCTTTACCAAACCCCTGACCTCTTAACAGAGGCCATGTTCAACTTTATACCTACGAGCATATGGACGAGGATGAGGGCCACATGTGATTTCTTTTGTTAGATCTGAACAAAAGTGACATTTCTGTTACGAGTTCTGAGAAACAAGTCAGAATTATGAGAACAAAGACGTGAAATATTCAGAATTGTGAGAAACAAAGCGTGAAAATGTCAGAATTATGAGAAAAAATACGTGAAATATTCAGAATTGTGAGAAAAAAGCCGTGAAAAATTCAGAATTATGAAAAAAAAGTCAGAATTCAGACTTTTATAATTCTATTTTTGTTTTGAAAATCTCGTTATCAGAAAAACACTTAAAATAAGTTCCCCTTTGGTCAGATCTCCAAATGTTTGTTCAGACGTCTTCCTAATCCTCTTCCAAACAACCATCCCTTGTGTTTAAATGTGATCAGTCTATATTCTGAATATTGTCTCATCTACAGAAATACATTGATCTGTTGGTACAGTGCCCTCCATAGGTGAGTTTAGAAAGATCTGGAAAGCATACATTTACGTTTCTCTGGAAGTTTGAAGTCATAATGTTATGGTTTAAGATTTGTAACTTAGTATTTTGAGGACTTTTTCCAGACAAAGTGTAATAACTTACACAAAGGAAGTTATGTTTACAGTTTGGTTCGGAGTTCTTCAGCAGGATGATGGAAACGCCTCTCCTCCATGTTTCTTTGAACTTGGTGGAAGTGTGTGTTTCTGTGCTGAGGAAACGTGGAGGATACCCGAATGATGGGGAGTAAACACACGTTACTTGTCACTTATGGAACAGGCCATGGAGGCGCTCTGTGCCCTCCGTGTGCACTTCTAGTTTCTACCTAAAACTGGGTTGGATGATGGAAAATAAAATGTACAATCTGTATATTTGAGGATTTATTGAGGAATGTTTTGGACTGAGTATTTTCTCAAAAGAAAAAACGGGATGAGTGATACAGATTCAGGATAAGGACATGTTGTAACCTTAAAAATATTGTTTTTTTTATACAACTAATTTTATTTTGGAGAAGTGTCACATTCACAAGAAGAGACGAACTGACTGTAGCCTATACCACATGTTGCACATTTTCACTTCCCGCTATTAAAACTATTAAAATAAGGAGGCAATCAAAACCAAATGTATATTTCATAAATAATTTGACTTGAAACGTTACCGTTTGTTTTGATCACAATTGTATTTATATTTCTCTCTTTATTTCTTAATATCTTTTAGTTTAATTGTTTTACTCTGTACGACAAGGCAAGTGTATGTATAGCACCTTTCAGCACAAGGCAATTCAAAGTGCTTTACAGAAATGAAAGACATTAAGAAACATATTATGAAATGATATTTAAAAACATTCATTTAAAAGCAAAGATACATGAGTCACAGTGCAGTGTGAGATACACACATCTGAAATGTTTAGTTCTGACTAGTTTTCTTTGACCTCCCTTTCTTTCTACTTTCTGATTTAACTTGTCCTTTAGTTATTTCAAGTGTTTCATGCTAAACGAACCCCCCTTTGGAAAATTGTAATCTGACCCCTTGGTACCTTTTAGTATTCACCGAAACTATTCCTCTTTTTTATTTTTAAATGCACATTAGTTAAGTTTACCTTGTCTTTCTAGGACTTTTTTTGGTATCCTCCGTGAACCANACAGATGGAAGGCTGACAGGCAGGTAGGCCATCCAGTTACTTTAGCCGGGCCGGCTCAGATGATTGGTCGTGCTTTTTACAGCGCCACGGCTTCCACAGATGAGATTTGTTATGGATTTATTGTCAAAGCATTTAATGTATTCATTGCTATCGGGATGTTAAGAGCATTCCATGGAATATAACAAAGTGTTTCTGAAGTGAATGACCTTCCCCACCTCTAAGAATGCACCAAAACCTGTTTTCTACATGTTTGCTGACGAACATTTTTTTTTGGGACCTTAGAAATATTGTCCAGGTAAATAATATTCACCTGTTCTGACAGTAAGTCATAAACACGGAAGAGGTTTTACCATTTTCTAACTTCCTTAGAAATCTGTATTGATCTGTGAAACACGTTGACAGTTAGATATATTGTGAGTTACTAATCGATGTTACATTACAGTCATGTCTTTCTTTTGGATAGTAAGAAAGAAGTGTGTGGGAGAGAAACTCCCTCTGGAGGGAACACAGGACTTGTAGCCTTGCAGACCATTTACATGCACTCAAACCTATAGAACACACTACAGGAAAGAATAGAGCCTCTTTATGTAAAGTCACAAACATAGGAAAGAAAATAATTAACTCTTAAAGTATATTTAAGCTGGATTAATTTGTTTTGTTTACTCAGTACTATACAATATATGCGTGCCCAAAAAAGTACTATGAGTGCAAGACACCACTTGTGTTCTATCATAGTGCTTAGAGCATACTTAAAAGATATCCAGGTGCAGAAGGACACACACTTATCTCAAAGTGCTTCATTAATGAGCCCCGTCTCTTCCAGGCCTAATGAAGAGGCTGGAGGAGGAGGTCAAGATCAACTCCTACATGGTGTCTGAGAAGCTCCCCAAGGAGCTGGAGGCCATGAGGCGCTCGGTGCAGTACCTCCAGAAGATATCGTCAGAGCCCGCCATGGGCCAGGCCGACCTGCAGGAGCTGGAGGACAAGGTGAGCACGGGGGCTTCGTCTACAGCAGGGGTGTCCAAACTTTTTTCACCGAGGGCCAAATACAGACAGACAAATGTACGAAGGGCTGGGCCACTCACTAGAGGTACACAGCCTCATAAGTTCAGTTATAAGTTAGCCAAATCAATCAAAAGTAGGTAAATGATGCTCGTGAGTGTTACCAGGTTGTTATGGAAATAAGTTACTGGGCTTTTTTTTTATCAACTAAGATTTGTTAGAAAATGTTTCCAACTTGAATTGAATGAATTTCTTTGAAAAGTGGTTTTATTACCACATGAATACTACTGTGCGATATATGTTTACATTCAGCAAGTACATTATAAGACAAGCACGAGTTTCATTTGTGGGCCATATTCCATTATACCTTTTGAATTTGCTGAGGGCCGATTCAAAATGGTCCGCGGGCCGCATTTGGCCCCCGGACCGTAGTTTGTACACCCCTTATCTATATAATAATAATACATTTTATTTATAAAGGCGCCTTTCAAGGCTCTCAAGGTCGCCGTACAAGGTACACAAAACACAAGTTTAAAAAAAACACGACAATATAGTCAATCAATAAAAACAGCAAAGCAGAGGGTGTGTGATGTGATCAGGGTGAAGAGATATGTTTTGAGGCGTGATTTTAAAATGGTGAGGGAGTCAGTATTCTGGATGTCAGGTGGGAGGGAGTTCAACGAAAAGGTGACTTGATGTTCTGCAGAAGATACATGAACATCCACTGAGGAACGATTTGTGCTTTCAGTTTTTATCTGACATTAAACATTATCCGTGTGCATGTGATGTGTAAGTCAGTGCGTACGTCAGTCAGTGTGTAAGTCAGTGTGTGTAGTCAGTCAGTGTGTGTGTAAGTCAGTCAGTGTGTAAGTCAGTCAGTGTGTGTGTAAGTCAGTCAGTGTGTAAGTCAGTCAGTGTGTGAGTCAGTCAGTGTGGGTATTGTGTGGTATTTACCTCCATTCATTTCATCCATCCCTGTGTGTTTGTCTCTGAATGCTCTTCGTTGGTCACAGATTAAAGAAGCCGACTCTCAGATCAATCAGCTGATAGAGAAGAGGATGATGAGGAGTGACCCCATGGACGACAAACTGACGCTCTACAGGCAGCAGGTGATGCATTTCATCCTTTTATCTATTTTAGTCTTTTGTCAATTTAATTCAGGTTACATGTATAAAGCTCAAGAAAACATGACGTGGTGTTAAGAGCCCGGCCCGTTTTGTGTTGCGTTTCCACTGGGCGTAGTTCCGGCTAGCGGGTACTTTTTCACACTTTTCTGGCCCCATAAAATCGAGGTTCTTTCCGGGCCAACAACCGGGCTGAGTCGGGCTGAGTTTGCTAAACTAGAGAGAGAATCGCTGGCAACTACAACAAAATGAACATATTTGACCGTGATCTAATTGTAACACGTTGTACACGTTTCAAAATGATGCCGAAGTAACAACATACTGATACCGGATAGTAAAAACCATGAATGAATGCTTTGACAAGTCTGCAGACAGACGGCAGGCGAAACACCTTTTAAAATGCGTGTTTTCTGAATGGAGATTGGCTAAGCTAACGCAGTATATGCTCCGACCGTCCACACTCACAACAACGGCCTACAGACATAAATAAAGCAGCGACTGTATTCTCCATGACACAGACAGTCTGTGGTTTGTACTTGTTTAACTTGTGTCTAGTTTCTGAACAGATATGAGGAGCTGTGAGCTCTGAGGGCTAACAGCTAACGGCTGATGTTGGTTTTCTGTGTTTCTCATTGAAGATGACGTCACGGCTCCCCCTACACTGTGTTACCATAGTTACTGCCCCAGTTCCTAAACTGTAATGGAAACTAGTTGATATTTCTTTCCCCGTAACAACATGCCTATAGTTCAATTACCTCCACTCTCGCACACATTAACAATTCAATACAAAGGGGCTTTATTGGCATGACCACATTTTAAACCCAGTATTGCCAAAGCATTCCGCACGAGGCTTTATGACAGGACAAAACAAAAATCAACACTAAACATAAATGTTAACACTATGTTGTCATGTGTGTATCAACTGTGATATAATGTGACTGTTGCAGGCGTCCATCATCATGCGGAGGAAGGAGTCGAAGGCGGAGGAGCTGCAGGAGGCGAGGGAGGAGCTGGCGTCTGCAGAGAGAGACCTGAGGGGGAGGAGCCAGGCTCAGGACTCTGAGGGGGGGGAGATCATCCGGACAGACGAGGTACTCTGCCCTTTTAAAGGTTACTTTACTAATGCATTATAGACATAGACAGTGCTACAAAAGATATGACTGTTGCCCTTCTTGAAAATAAACAAAGTATCAAGTGAAACTCAACTGGCTTTATGTAACAGACAAGATGCTTTACAGTCCGTTTAACAACTTCACTTCCTACGTAGAGTATGAACTGTGTGTAGTGTAGTCAATGGTTTTCTGAACGTGTTAGGGTCCACTACAAAACACGTCTCACTCTGTAAACCAAATACTGATCCTATTTAGCAGACATTTAACAGACAAGGTGTGTGTGTGTGTGTGTGTGTGTGTGTGTGTGTGTGTGTGTGTGTGTGTGTGTGTGTGTTGTGTGTGGTGGTTTTGTGTGGTGTGTGTGTGGTGTTGTGTGGTGGTGTGTGTGTTGTGTGGTGTGTGTTGGGTGTGTGTTTGTTGTGGTGTGTGTGGTGGTTTGGTGTGTTGTGGTGTGTGTGGTGGTGGTGTGTTGTGTGTGTGTGTGGTGTGTGTGTGGTGTGTGTTAAGGGTTCTGTGGCTGACGTTAGAATGAAGTGTGATTTGTTTTGAGTACGTTTTTAAAAGCCTCTAAATATTACCTTCATCTAAAGTATTCTCATAAAATAAAAAACACATCATTGAGGAATCATTTGATTTTAAAAATAGTAGGATGGGGTCTGAAATGGTCCAGGGTTGGAGGGTTATCCTTTAAAATGTAATCTTTACGACTACTCAGGACAACCGAAAGTGATGACCTTAGAAAATACAGATATATTTAAGGACACGAAAGATTTTATTAAAGAAAAACATGCCTTTCCTTCAGCAGGATGTTCAGGCAGCGCCTCATATGAATCAATGAGCATACTGGTATACTGAGTTAAAAACGGCAGAAATTAAATCAGAGCTTGACAGAAATGCTCCGTTAGTTAACACACACAGTTTAGCTCACACACACAAGTGTGACCACCATAGGTTACCTGCTGAATAAAAAACAAACAAATAAGCAAAGAAAGGTGGAAAACCATAAAGCAGATTCACAGTAGAAGTAAGATACAACTTAAAGTTGTTATTACGAACAGTTACAGGCTTACAGAGAAGAGATAACATCTTGATCCTTTACAGCGTGTTTTTCAAAGTGGGGCCCACCCCCCGGGGGCCGCCAGGGGCGCAGGGGGGTCCACTCAAAGTTTGAGGGGAACAGGATTTTTTAATAATTAATAACTGCTTTATCTATCAATCTATGGTCCTTTTGATGCCAATCTTTCTATTTTTTTTTTGATCACCGACCCCTCAAGCCAATCAGATCGAGCTTCGTACTGAGAAGTGAAAATCTGCTCAGCTTTTGGAGCAATGAGAGCTGGAATGTTTCCTTCTGCCAGCGAGAGGAGGCCGGATGTGCAAATGTCGGCAGAATTGTTTCTCCACAGATTTATTCAGAGAACAACTTTTTGAGAAATTATGTATGCAATACACTGAGGGTAGACCACATGAAGAGAATTTAGGGATGATACATCATGTCAAATGGACCTTGACTGTCTCGTTGTGTGGGTGTGTTGGTTCAGGATGGGCAGGTGGGGCTATGACAGGCAAAAAAAGCGGAG